GGGGAGGGGCAGGGGGGCTGCCCCGCTGCTGGCCACGGGCAGAAAGCGACCTGCCTGGACTACCTGCTGTCTCCAAAGGGCTGCAAGTTGTCACCAGGACTGGTGGCTGATGTCCTTCACACCAGAGAAAAGACACTGGTATTAATAAAAATATATATCTAATAATAGTGCTCATAGATATTTAAAACATACTTTTCCCCTTCCTTAAAAAACGAAAAGAAAAAGAAAACAAACAAAAAAGAAAAGCATGGGAGCTAAAAAGGCTACAGGCAGGCTTTTCAGGCATGGACGATTGACAACCAAAACAGTGCTTCCACACCTACCAAGAACGGCCAGAAAACCATAAAACGGGAGCAAAGAAGGGGCTGATTTTCAGCTTCCCGGGGCCGGACGGCATCACCGTGCGAGCAGGGGCGCAGGCGGGCCGGGGCAGAGGGGCGGCGGGGGCGGGGAGGATGGCCGAGGGCCGGGGTCCTGGTGAGCGCCCACGGAGCTGGAGCTGACTGCCCGGGGGGCTGGTGTTTCCTAAATTGCTCTGGGGGAAAGCAAATTCCGCCCGCCGTAATGGCTCGGAAAGACGCTGTCTGCCTTGCCCGTTGCTTTAGAGCCCAACCCTGCCGTTCGGCTCGAGTGGTTTGAAGACCCTGCTCGGCACCCGTGATCTGCCCCTCGTTAAGCCGCCCGGCGGCGAGACCCCCCCGCTTTTCTCCGGGGTTGGATTAAAACACTTTGTCCATGGATCTGTGCTGCGTTGCGTTTAAACCGGCCGGGGAAACTCTTTGTGTCGCAAAGGACTCGAGTGATAATTAGGGATGAAATGCGCGTGGAGAGGACTAATATTATTTTTGGCTTGTGCGGGAATAATACAGATTTGCAAACCGTGTGAATAAAGCCGGGGTAGGCTGGGAGGGGAGGCAGTTCTGCCGGCTGCCGCCAGCACTCGGGCTTGGTGGGGAGCTTTGCGTCGGGCGCCCCTGGGCCGCGGGGACGCAGCCCGAAAGGCACCGGCAAGGAGCCACGGGGACGATTTACTGTGTGGGGATGTCGTGAGTGCATTGACGGGGCGGCGGCGCGTCGGCGCTCTGTTCTGCACGGTGGCACAGTACACAGATACTTTTCTCACTTGTCTAATTAAAACAAAATGGACCACTAGTCTTTTTTTGCATTCAATTAGAATAAAAAATATGAATACATGGGGAACTTCTACGAACATACTACGTTTTTCTAGCGACTGCAACAAGAAAATAATATATGCGCTTATTCGCTGGTTATGAACATCAATCTGCAGGGGTGCAGACAGTAATTCTGTCAAGCGACTGTGAAGATTTGTTTAATTTATCTGAAATTCGACTAGTTTATCGGATTAAAAATAAATAAATAAATAAATAAATAAATAACTACAATGCCTGGAAGTGACGGCCGGTTTTCTTCGCTATTAGGGAAAAGCTTTTGAGTGTTGCTTTAGAAAGCGCGGTCTGCGCCGTGGATTCGCAGACTCTGAGAAGTTGTGCTTAGATGTCCGTGTCAGGCCATGGCCTGGGCGATCACAATGGCATAGTTTTACCAAAAATACCTCCAAAAGATACTGAAATATCCACTTCGATGTTGCGAACAAATTATTTCGATGAAAAGGGATCAGAAGCGAAGGGAGAGAGGGTGCAGGGAAAAAAATCTCTTTCGCAAGCCCTCGCCGTAAGGAGAGAACTGTAAAAGTAAAAAATGAGATTTTATCTCAGGGAAAAAAAAAAGTGCGACCTTTGCAAAGTGGAAATTACTTGTAAACCGATCTCTCCTCGGGAAGAGCCCCGCGCTCAGAGCGGTGGCAGAGCGCTGTGCCTGGCAGGCGCGGAGGGGCTGAGCGGGGGCTGCGAGACAGGGAGCGGGGCTGCCCACCCCCAGGAGCGGGGTAAAGGGTCCCCAGACGTCGTCTCCTGACAAGGACTGGTGTAACGAAAGGAGAGGCAGACGTGTACCTTGCGGACTACATCTCCCGGAGTCCCTCCCAGCAGGGTACAAACCCCACCATGTTTCTCCTGTCCTCGCTGCTCCGGGAGGTGCCCGCTGGCTGCATGGGACAGCAGCCCATCGCCGCCGCATCCCAGCCTGTTCTCTGCCCCTCGCCTCCCTCTACCTGCAAAACCTTCTCTGGGAGGCCGAGCGCCTCGTCCCTGTCCCCCCACCGTGAGCAGAGTCATGCAGGCTCGGGGCAGAGCCCTCACCCGGCCCCGGCAGCGCGACCGCCCCGACGCCTCTCCCGGGCCCTGCCAGCGCCCTGCCGGGCTTTTCCCGGCCTCCCGCGGCCCAGCAGGGAGGGTCCTCCTCAATGCCAGGCCTGTGTATTTGTAGTTTGATTTCGCACGTCAAGGATAATTTCTTCATACAACTTAATGGACGCGGCTTGACATCCATAATGATCGCTAATCATTCAAATTATTTTTGCTAGCGCCCAGACATGTTCCAGTTGTTGTGATAGATCGCGTTTCACCCATAATGACGGACAATTACCATTTCTAATTCGCCGGCTTTTGACACCTAAATCCACCCACCATATGTGGCTGAAACGCGCCGGGCTCGGCGGCGAGGCCCTGATGACATTTGCAGCAAGAGGAGAGGGGCACCTGGGATGCCAGCACCCCCCTCCTCGGCACCCTGTCTCTTCCCCAGGCCGCTGGAGCTCGACCCTTTGCCATCGCAAGCCCCCAGACGGCAGCTCCGAGGCCGGCGGAGACATAAGTGAGCCCCATGCGGAGCCGCCAGCCCCTCTGCCCCCCGCCCCTCCGCCCCCTCGGGCAACCGAGCTGCGCTCGGGCTCGGGTCCGTCGTACACTGCGGACAATGCCCCGACTGGCAAAGCGGCTGGGGCCGGGAGTCAGAGGCATCTCTCGCTGCCCTCCTTGCCAACGCGAGTCAGGCAAATCGGTGCGTTTGTTCGTGCACTTCTCAGGGCAGGCGAAAAGCCCTCATCCTCGACGTGAGGATGTACAGCCTTGAAATGTCCTTTATGGAAGAGACAGCACAGGGCGGCAGGGAGGTTCGGCTGTAAACAAGGCGCGGAGTGCTTTCTGTCACATCCAACAGCTTTCCTGGGGCATTTTCCTCCACGATTTCCCTAGAAATGCAATGAAGGCTCTCTCTGCGGGTTCCGATGCGCTCCATGGAAGCAAGACAGGCAG